AATCCACGTTTGTAACTCTTTTGTCCTTGAAAAAATATTCTTTAAAAAAATCCACGTTTGTGACTCTTTTGGTCCTTGAAAAAATATACTTTAAAAAATCCACGTTTCCTTTGGTCCTTGAAAAAATATTCTTTAAAAAATCCACGTTTCCTTTGGTCCTTGAAAAATGAATCTTTAAAAAAATCCACGTTTGTGACTCTTTTGGTCCTTGAAAAAATATTCTTTAAAAAATCCACGTTTGTGACTCTTTTGGTTCTTGAAAAAATATTCTTTAAAAAATCCACGTTTTCTTAGGTCCTTGAAAAAATATTTTTTTTTAAATCCACGTTTCCTTAGGTCCTTGAAGAAATATTTTTTTAAAAATCCACGTTTGCTTAGGTCCTTGAAAAAATATTTTTTTTTAAATCCACGTTTCCTTAGGTCCTTGAAAAAATATTTTTTTAAAAATCCACGTTTGTGACTCTTTTGGTTCTTGAAAAAATATTCTTTAAAAAATCCACGTTTTCTTAGGTCCTTGAAAAAATATTCTTTAAAAAATCCACGTTTCCTTTGGTCCTTGAAAAAATATTCTTTAAAAAATCCACGTTTCCTTTGGTCCTTGAAAAAATATTCTTTAAAAAATCCACGTTTGTGATTCTATTGGTCCTTGAAAAAATATTCTTTAAAAAATCCACGTTTCCTTAGGTCCTTGAAAAAATATTCTTTAAAAAATCCACGTTTCCTTTGGTCCTTGAAAAAATATTCTTCAAAAAATCCACGTTTCCTTTGGTCCTTGAAAAAAAATTCTTTAAAAAATCCACGTTTCATTTGGTCCTTGAAAAAATATTCTAAAAAATCCACACTTTCCGTTGGTCCCAAAAAAAAAATCTTTAAAAAATCCACGTTTCATTTGTTCCCTGAAAAATATTCTAAAAAAAACCACATTTCATTTGGTCCTTGAAAAAAATTTTTTCTGAAAATCTACGTTTCCTTTGGTCCTTGAAAAATTTTTTTTTCTGAAAATCTACGTTTCCTTTGGTCCTTAAAAAAATATTCTTTAAAAAAATCCACGTTTCCTTTGGTCCTTGAAAAATGAATCTTTAAAAAATCCACGTTTCCTTTGATCCTTGAAAAAATATTCTTTAAAAAATCCAGGTTTGTGACTCTTTTGGTCCTTGAAAAAATATTCTTTAAAAAATCCACGTTTGTGACTCTTTTGGTCCTTGAAAAAATATTCTTTAAAAAATCCACGTTTCCTTTGGTCCTTAAAAAAATGTTCTTTAGAAAATCCACGATTCCTTTGGTCCTTGAAAAAATATTCTTTAAAAAATCTACCATTCCTTTGGTCCTTGAAAAAATATTCTTCGTAAATCCACGTTTCCTTTGGTCCTTGGAAAAATATTCTTTAAAAAATCCACGTTTCCTTTGGTCCTTGAAAAAATATTATGTAAAAAATCCACGTTTCCTTTGGTCCTTGAAAAAATATTCTTTAAAAAATCCCCGTTTCCTTTGGTCCTTGAAAAAATATTCTTTAAAAAATCCACGTTTCCAAAGCTTTGATCCTTGCAAAAGTATTGTTCAAAAAATCCAGGTTTTGACTCCTCTGATCTTTGAAAAAGTACTCTTCAAAAAATCCTTTGACTGCTATAATCCTTGAAATAAGTCCTTGAAAAAATATTCTTTAAAAAATCCACGTTTGTGACTCTTTGGGTCCTTAAAAGAATATTCTTCTAAAAAATCCACGTTTGTGACTGTTTGGGTCCTTAAAAGAATATTCTTCTAAAAAATCCAGGTTTTGACTCCTTTGCTCCTTGAAAAAATATTCTTTAAAAAATCCACGTTTCCTTTGGTCCTTGAAAAAATATTCTTTAAAAAATCCACGTTTCCTTTGGTCCTTGAAAAAATATGCTTTAAAAAATCCACGTTTCCTTTGGTCCTTGAAAAAATATGCTTTAAAAAATCCACGTTTCCTTTGGTCCTTGAAAAAATATGCTTTAAAAAATCCACGTTTCCTTTGGTCCTTGAAAAAATATGCTTTAAAAAATCCACGTTTCCTTTGGTCCTTGAAAATATATTCTTTAAAAAATCCACGTTTCCTTTGGTCCTTAAAAAATATTCTTTAAAAAAATCCACGTTTCCTTTGGTCCTTGAAAAATGAATCTTTAAAAAATCCACGTTTCCTTTGGTCCTTGAAAATATATTCTTTAAAAAATCCACGTTTCCTTTGGTCCTTGAAAAAATATTCTTTAAAAAAATCCACGTTTCCTTTGGTCCTTGAAAAAATATGCTTTAAAAAATCCACGTTTCCTTTGGTCCTTGAAAAAATATGCTTTAAAAAATCCACGTTTCCTTTGGTCCTTGAAAAAATATGCTTTAAAAAATCCACGTTTCCTTTGGTCCTTGAAAAAATATGCTTTAAAAAATCCACGTTTCCTTTGGTCCTTGAAAATATATTCTTTAAAAAATCCACGTTTCCTTTGGTCCTTAAAAAAATATTCTTTAAAAAAATCCACGTTTCCTTTGGTCCTTGAAAAATGAATCTTTAAAAAATCCACGTTTCCTTTGATCCTTGAAAAAATATTCTTTAAAAAATCCAGGTTTGTGACTCTTTTGGTCCTTGAAAAAATATTCTTTAAAAAATCCACGTTTGTGACTCTTTTGGTCCTTGAAAAAATATTCTTTAAAAAATCCACGTTTCCTTTGGTCCTTGAAAAAATGTTCTTTAGAAAATCCACGATTCCTTTGGTCCTTGAAAAAATATTCTTTAAAAAATCTACCATTCCTTTGGTCCTTGAAAAAATATTCTTCGTAAATCCACGTTTCCTTTGGTCCTTGGAAAAATATTCTTTAAAAAATCCACGTTTCCTTTGGTCCTTGAAAAAATATTATGTAAAAAATCCACGTTTCCTTTGGTCCTTGAAAAAATATTCTTTAAAAAATCCCCGTTTCCTTTGGTCCTTGAAAAAATATTCTTTAAAAAATCCACGTTTCCTTTGGTCCTTGAAAAAATATTCTTTAAAAAATCCACGTTTCCTTTGGTCCTTGAAAAAATATTTTTTTTAAAATCTACGTTTCCTTAGGTCCTTGAAAAAATATTTTTTTTTAAAATCCACGTATCCTTAGGTCCTTTGAAAAAATATTTTTTTTAAAATCCACGTTTTCTTTGGTCCTTGAAAAAATATACTTTAAAAAATCCAAGTTTCCTTTGGTCCTTGAAAAAATATTCTTTAAAAAATCCACGTTTCCTTTGGTCCTTGAAAAAATATTCTTTAAAAAATCCACGTTTCCTTTGGTCCTTGAAAAAATATTCTTTTAAAAATCCACGTTTCCTTTGGCCCTTGAAAAAATATTCTTTAAAAAATCCACGTTTCCTTTGGTCCTTGAAAAAATATTATTTGAAAACATTTTCTTTAAAAAATCCACGTTTCCTTTGGTCCTTGAAAAAATATTATTTGAAAAAATATTCTTTAAAAAATCCACGTTTCCTTTGGTCCTTGAAAAAATATTATTTGAAAACATTTTCTTTAAAAAATCCACGTTTCCTTTGGTCCTTGAAAAAATATTATTTGAAAAAATATTCTTTAAAAAATCCACGTTTCCTTTGGTCCTTGAAAAAATATTCTTTGAAAAATCCACGTTTCCTTAGGTCCTTGAAAAATATTTTTTAAAAAATCCGCGTATCCTTTGGTCTTTGAAAAAATATTTTTTAAAAAATTTACGTTTCCTTCGGTCCTTAAAAAAATATTCTTTAAAAAATCCACGTTTCCTTCGGTCCTTGAAAAAATATTCTTTAAAAAATCCACGTTTCCTTTGGTACTTGAAAAAATATTTTTTAAAGAAGCCACGTTTGTGACTCTTTTGGTCCTTGAAAAAATATTCTTTTAAAAATCCATGTTTCCTTTGGTCCTTGAAAAAATATTCTTTTAAAAATCCACGTTTCCTTTGGTCCTTGAAAAAATATTCTTTTAAAAATCCACGTTTCCTTTGATCCTTGAAAACATTTTCTTTAAAAAATCCACGTTTCCTTTGGTCCTTGAAAAAATATTCTTTGAAAAAATATTCTTTAAAAAATCCACGTTTCCTTTGGTCCTTGAAAAAAAATTCTTTGAAGAAATGTTCTTTAAAAAATCCACGTTTCCTTTGGTCCTTGAAAAAATATTCTTTGAAAAATCCACGTTTCCTTAGGTCCTTGAAAAATATTTTTTAAAAAATCCGCGTATCCTTTGGTCTTTGAAAAAATATTTTTTAAAAAATTTACGTTTCCTTTGGCCCTTGTAAAATTTTCTTTAAAAAATCCACGTTTCCTTTGGTCCTAAAAAAAATGCATCCAAATTTTTTCACCAAAAATTTCTTCTCCAAAATTCTATCACCCCCTCGGGCTATTACCCTTTTGTATTTATTGCCTATTACATTTTTGCAAAACAATTACAATATTTTAACGTGTTTAGTGCTGCAATGTCCATTGTGACAAAATGAAAAGGGGCCATTGTTTAGAAAATTTCCGAGTGGAATTAATTGGAAAATGTTTTAAGAAAAAATAACACAAAATAATTGTGTTGTTGTTGTTCGCGTTGTCGTTATTATTGTTATTGTGTGTATTTAACGAAATTAAATAATTTAATTTGATATCAAATATTGTTGGACATTGTTGCATTTCAGCCATTATTGACAGTCAATGGTGGGTGTAAATTTTCCATTCAACAAAAATTTGATGTTGAGTTTTCAATGAAAACTCAGATGAAATGACAAATTAAATGACAATAATTTTTCCACAATCATATTTAAACAACAACAACAAACAGCAATCATGAAGGCAATCATGATTTGGAAACATGTCGATACAGGATTAGCGATAACAGGGGAGATATATCAGCTGGCTTATTGGTTTTTTTTTTCGGAACAGCAAAATTGCGTGCAATTCATAAACATTCCCAGCCCTGACCGTTGAGGGAGCAACAAAAATACCTATAAATAATCGGAAACCCAGAGCTTTAGAAGCACAGTTAGTCGGCATTCTATTGCAAGCGTTTTCATTTTAAAATTCCTGAAATCCTGAATAGATCTCAAATCATAATTTCCATTTTATTTTCGGTGACTTCGTTTTCAAATTAAAAATGAAATCCCTCGCGAAATTGTTTATTTATTTTTCACTAATTGCTATTATTAAAACATCCTATGCCAATCCGGCTCATGATGATTTAAAGGTGTGTTTTGAAAAAATATTTTTTTTTTGGAATTTTTAAAAACATTTAAAATTTTGTGTTTTGAAAATATATTTTTTCTTTTTTGAAATTTTCAAAAATATTTCAAATTTTCATTTCTAGGGTCAAGAAAAACCACCCGAGGAAATACCACAGGTAAGATTAGCTATAAAAAATATTTAAAAAAATATTCAAAATTAATACGAAGGTCATAAGAAATATTTTTTAAAAAAATTTGCATTAATGACACTGAACAACAAAAAAAAATTGAAAAAAAATAATAAAAAAATAATAAAAAAAAAAAAAAATAAAAAAAATAAATAAATAAAAAATACTAAAAAATTAAAGTAAATTATGAAAGTAGAACCAAAAACAGAGGACATGTGTATCGGTGCTCTGAAAGTTAACATCGCAGAGTATCCTTAATGGAGGGAGCCAGTTCCCCACTCTTCCACATATTTGGAAAATTTCGGATTAAGATTATTCGGAATCCGTTTATTGTAGATATATACAGGGTGAGATGAAAAAACTGCAACCAACTTCAGACTGCTGTCATTTCTAAGTTACTCGTCCGACAGCAGTTCAAATTATTCCAGTGACAGCTCATTATATTGTTTACGTACAAAAGCATTCTGGTGAGAATTTTCCAGAAAAAAAGTTATTCGTGATTCAAGCGTGATCGGGTGATTTCTTTATATTCGGCTGGAGAGCCACAAGTGGCCATCGTTAGAGCACTCCATCTTTTAAATGTGAATAAATCTTTTGGGTCTCGTACCGACGTCAAGGAAGTGGATGGAAGAAAACAGCAACATCAACAGAAATGGTTCGAAAAGTAAAGAAGCGACTTGATCGAAACCCGCGTCGCAGTGGCCGAAAAATGGCTAGTGAGCTTAACATATCGCAATATTCCATTCGGCAAATATTGAAAAATGAGCTTGGGGCAAAGCCAGAACTTACACCGCAACAGAAAGAAAATAGACTCGCTTGGCCGAAAGTGAGAAAATTACCGAATTTGGTTTTTTCTCTCTCTCTCTCTCCCTCTCTCTCTCCGATAAGAAATCTTTCGTTGTCCAGCAGTTTATAAACAAGCAAAAGGATCGTGCTCACTTGCAAAAATAGGTCAGCTGAAAATGTGCACCTTCGGATGGCCACCAGAACTCAAGCGCCAGCCATGGTGATGGTGTGAGCCGCCATAATAGCCGATGGTCGCTCTTCGCTCGTATTAATCGACCGTGGCATCAGAATAAATGCCAAATATTATCGCGAAAATATTCTGGAGGGTATATTAACATTTTGGCCGCAGACCTTGGAAATTCTAACAGGACTCAGCGCCATCGCTCTGGAGGGTGTATTAAAGCCTTGGACACGCAAACATTTTGGTCCCAGACCTTGGACATTCTATCAGGTCTCAGCACTATCGCACTCATCACGCGCCACCCAAGAATGATTAAAAAATGAGGTTCCTCGCTTCATTTCTAGGCCACAATGACCACCAAATCTGCATATATCAATCCGTTGGACCATTGTGTCTGTAGTATTTTGGAAAGCAAAGTTGACACTAAAAAATACCAAAGTGCCGAACACCTCAAGCAAGCGCTTTGCCGCGAATGGGCCAAAATACCGCAGAGCAACATTTGGGCAGCGTGTGACGGTTTCATTAGCCGTTTGAAGGCCATCATAATTCGTGCCAAAGGTGACCAGCCGTTAGAATGGACCACTACTTTTGTTTGAAAAAATACTAACATTACTTACAGGCGATATTCGAAATACGCAAAAGGCGAACTTTTGGCATTTTTGTGCTGACCCGTCGTGATGTATCTCAGAAGGCGAACTTTTGGCATTTTTGTGCTGATTTCGTTGACGAATATAGCCAAATATCGTAGACAAACAAACCCTGTAGATGAGGCTAAATTTGGAGATATAGAGGAACCTCTTGCTTGTGGAGATTATCGCAAAATTATTTAGGAGGTTCAAATGAACCAAAAACAGAAAAAAAATTCCTGATTCCACAATTGAAGCCAATCGACACGCCTGAGAAGATAGTTAAGGACAGGGAAGAATTCTAGCATTTTAGATGACTATTGGATTTTATTTAGCTGTAAAATGGACCACAACAACTAAGAGCTCAAAGGAGTTTTTAAATATTTGGCAAATGTCCCTCGACAAAATGCTAAGGGTAATATCTGTGCAGTTCTCCATGACATAATTTCAAAGGCGAAATCTTCCGAAATGGATGGGGACATAAGGGGGGCTTCTAACATATTGTAGTGTTGTAGGGTACCGCATGGTCGGCCACGCACGACTATAGCCTTTGCTTACTTCTTAAAAATTATTCTAAACAAATTTGATTTATATTTTTTAAGGAGTATGAATTTTGACTTTTTCGAAAACTTCGAAACAAATATTTATTTTAACAGGACCTCAGGTCTATTTCAAAAATTTTAAATTTTTATGTCATACTAAATTTGATTTTTTTTCAAAAGCTTCGAAAGAAATATGTATTTTAGCAAGACCTCCAGCTCATGTTTATTTAACTTAAATTCGAAATAATTTAAAATAAAATTCGAGTTAAATAAATAAAAATCATAAAAAAATAATTATTTTTTATTTTTTTATTTATTATATTCTTTCAGGAACCACCAAAGGCAATCAGAGTGAGTATACTTTAAAGACGATTAAGAAAATTCTTTATAGATTTTTCTCTAATTTCCCACCCCCAAAGTCCCGTCGTGAAGTTTCACCACAAAACGGCGATGAACCTGATGTCCCAGAGGGTTTGAGAGTGAGTAGAGAGAAAATTGTATTTAGATATTTCTTATATTCATTTAATTATTTTTAAAGCCCCGACGCTCAGTGGCTGCTGAAGAGGTGCCCGAGGAACCACCACAGGTAGGTTTATTTCTTCACTGAAAAATATATATTGAAATATATTTTTTTTCTCCTTTTTAGGAACCACCACAGGCAATTCGGGTAGGTATTTTCATTTTGAGTTTTCTTTTTTTTTTGTCTTCAATAAAAACCTAATTTTATTCTTTTCCTTATTACTAGTCCCGTCGTGATGTCTCCACCCAGAGTGGTGATGAACCTGATGTTCCCAAGGAATTGAGAGTGAGTTTTAAAACTTTTTTTTTCTTTTAATTCACAATAATGAGAAGAGTTTCACGACCCTTGAGATCTTAGAAATACAAATTATTTCTAAACATTAAGCATTAAGTTCCGCCGGGCCGAACTTTTAATAGCCTCCACCAAATAACAATTTTTTGAGAAATCCGTGAAAAAAAAAAATGTGGCAAAAATCATCAAAATACCGAATATTGGGAAATATCGTTATATGGGAGCTATACCAAAACGTGGACCCATACATACAATGTTTCGCCACACGAACTAGGACCCATAAAGACCACAAATACCAATTTTCAGACAAATCCGTGAAAAAATGTGGCAAAAAAATCATCAAAATACCGAATATCGGGAGATACCGTTATATGGGAGCTATTCCAAAACATAGACCTTTACATGCAATGTTTCGCCAACGGAGATAGAACCCATTATGACCTACAAATACCAATTTTTAGACAAATCCGCGAAGAAATGTGGCAAAAATCATTAAAATACCGAATATAGGGAGTTTCCGTTATATGGGGACTATACCAAAACGTAGACCGATATATCTCATTTTCAATACCTACCATTCCAGACACAATACAAATTGTTCTGCTAAACTTTGACGCTCTTACGTCAAATAATGTGGGCTGTATCGTGATTTCAACAGACGGACATCTTTAAATCGACTTATAATTTTATGCTGATTATCATTGTATATACTTTATGGGGCCTACAACGAATATTTAGCGGAATGACAAAGTTAGTTTACCCTCCTTTCCAAGGTGGAGGGTATAAAAATTCGATTTTTAGTATTAGGAAAAATATTAAAAAAAAAATTTAAAATATTTTTTTTACGAAGTCCGACATTCCTACATATTAACTTCTTATCAATTTTTTTAGACCCGTCGTGATGTATCTCAGAAAAATGGCGATGAACCGGATGTGCCCCAGGGATTAAGGGTAAGTTGTCATAAATTAAAGGGGTAGCCTAAAAATTAGGGTTCGGATGAAATCCGAATGAACAAAATATATGTGTTTAATGACATAAAGGGCGATTTTTAAAATTATTTATTTAAATATTTATTTTTTTTTAACATAGAATCGCCGTAGTGCCAACCAAGAGAAATCTGATGAACCTCAGCCACCAGAGGTAGGAGGAAAATATTTATGAAATTGGAAAGAGATATTATTATAATTTTTTGTTTTCATTTCTTCACAGGATGTGCCCGAGGAACCAGCATTCAGGGTAGGAAAAATTTTTTTTATCAAAGATTTGTTTTTTATAATTTTAAAAGAAGTCACGATTCTTAAAATCTATACTATTTCCGTTTGATAAAAATTCTACTTCTATGGTATATTTTTTTAATTTTTTTTTAACGATGTCTAGATTCTTACCCTTCCCTTCACCCAGTACCGCATTTAGTATGCACATCCAAAACAATCTCATATTTTCATCCTAGAATAGCAGCAGATATCCAAACTTAGTACTATTTAGTAATTTTGGTAAAATAATAGTAGGCATTTCCAAGACCACACCCATATCCTAACAACACCAGTGACGACTATTTCCAATTTCAGGATTTCAGCTCTCTAATATCCTCCATTACCAAATTTAGTACAATTATAGTACGCATATCCAAAATCAGCTAATTCTCTCAACCACATGTATGTATGTGACATGTATATCAAATTTAACGGTTTCAGCCCTATCCCTTCACCCATTACCAAATTTAGTACTATTTAGTACTTTTCGTACGATTATAGGACACCTCTCCAAAATCTCCTCCCTACCTCAATCCCAGATACCAACAAGGACCTAGACATCAATTTCCGGGATTCCTTCGATCTATTCCTTCATCCAATACCAAATTGAGTACAATTTTGTACTTTTTCGTACACTTATAGTACATATATTCAAAACCAACTCCATATCTTAATTCCAGATACCATAAATAATCTTAATATCAAATTTCTGAACTGTATTTGTATTCCTTCGCCCAATACCCAATTAGGTACCACTTAGTATTTTTCGTACAATTATAATACAAATTTCCGAAACCGACCTCCATATATCCAGACTAACTTTTTAACCTTGATTCTCATCTCAGATCTCAAAATCACCTGCATATCTTAGTTCCAGTTAGCAAGAGAGACTTCAATATTAAATTTCGGTATAACAGCATTATCGCTTCTCCCAATAGAGTACCACTTAGTACTTCTCGAACAATTATTGTACACATTTCCACAACCGCTTTCATATCTTCCGGGCTTCCAGCGATATAACTTCACCTAATAACATATTTAGTACCATTTAGTACTTTCCGAACAAATATAGGATTCATTTTTAAGACCTTAATATAAAATTTGAGGGTTCCAGTCGTATCCCCTCACCCAATACTAAACTTAGTACCAATTAGTACTTTTCCTACAATTATAATACAAATTGGTAAAACCACCTCAATATTTAAATTCCAGATACCAACAGAGACCTCAGTATCAACTTTGAGGGTTCTAGCCTTATCCCTCCACCAATTTCCAAATTTAGTACCATTTAGTACTTTTCGTACAAATATAGGACGCATTTCCAAACAACCACCAAATTTCAATTTCAGATACCATCAGAAATCTAAATATCAAATTTCAGAATTTTATCTCTATCCCTTCACCCAATACCAAATAAGGTACCATTTGGTACTTTTCGTACAATATTAGTATACATTTCCAAATCACTCCTATTTTTCAACCCCTATACCAAAAGAGACCGCAATATAAAATTTGAGGATTTCGGCCGTATCCCTTCACCCAATACCAAATTTAGTACCATTTAGTACTTTTTGTACAAATGTAGGACGCATTTCCATACAACCACCAAATTTCAATTTCGGATACCATCAGAAATCTTAACATTAAATTTCAGAATTTTATCTCTATCCCTTCACCTAATATCAAATATGGTACCATTTAGTACTATTCGTGCAATATTAGTACACATTTCCAAAACAACCCTCATATCTTAGCCAAAGACACCAACAGTTATATCTAAATTTTTCTCAGGATCTCAGCTCTATTTCTTCACCCCATAGCAAGTTTAGTACCATTTGGTAATTTTCGTACAATTATAGTACACCTTTCCCAAACCACCTCTATATCTTGATTCCAGATACCAAAATAGACCTCAATAATAAATATCAAAATTGTATCCCTATCTCTTCACCCAATACCAAATATAGTACCATTTAGTACTTTTTGTACAACAATAGTACACATTTCCAGAATCACTTCTATACCACAACTCCAGCAGAGACTTCAATATCAAATTTGAGTATTCCAGCCCTATCCCTTCACCCAATACCAAATTTAGTACCATTTAGTACTCTTCGTACAGTAATAGTACACATTTCCGAAATCAACTGCATATGTCCAGACCCAAGTACCAATATTTCGGATTTAAAGCAATGTATATTCACCCTATGTCAAATTGTACCAAATATAGTACTATTTAGTACCTCTTTATAGCAAACTTACTATCGAAAGAAACCCCAATCTAAAATTTTAAAATTCCAGCTTCATCTCTTCATCCTTACCCAAACTGTTCCAAGTTTAGTACCATTTTCAAAACCGCCTTCATATATCTTGATTCTCATACCAAACCTTGATTCTCATACCAAATTTCAAATTTTAAACTCTATACGAAATGGTACCAGTTTTGAAAATTTCGTAACCTTAAGGTTCGAATTTCCAAAAACCCGTTGGTATATCTATCCTGCATTCCATGTGAGTGATTCTCATTTCAAATAACAGCATTTTAGCTTATTTCGTTTGTCCAATACAAAATATTACATTTTTAGTACATTTTAGTACTTTTCGCCCGTTCAAACGAATTTTCAAAAAACCCAGCCTACGCACCAAGAATAATCCTGGTTGAAAATTTCAAGATTCTAGCTTCAGGCGTTTCGTCGTGGCGCTTTTTGGTATAAATCTCCAAAAACCCAGTCTTATCGCTCGCCTAGGCCCCAAAATTGACTCTCGTGGAAAATTTGAAAAATTCTTTTTTGATTTTGAAAAAAAAATATTTTTAAAAATATCTAAAATTAATTAATTGTTTTTATATATTTTTTTCCAGGCCAAGCGTCAAATGCCCTCTCCACCAAATGGTATGCCCGATCCACCATCACCACCCATGCCACCAATGTTTAACTAAAAGGAATATCCGTTAATTGTTATTTTCAAAATTTCCAAAAATTTCATTTATTTAAAATTTATTAAAAAAAATATAAAAGCTATTGTTTAAATAAAGGTACCGTATGATATAAAAATTAAAAAATAAAAAAAAAATCCAAAATTATTGCATCTAATTAAAATGGCTTTTATTTTTTGTGCGGATGTCCATGCTAAATAACCCAAAATATCTCAATATCTCTTCTAGCTTCTCGAATTGCATATGTGTGAGTATGTGTATGCATGTGTTTGTTTTCGGGTATAAATTGTATGTCGTTTACTAAGTAATTTCCGGCTGATTGAAACCACAGAAAATGTTATTTCCGTTTTTAATGACCACCAAACGATAGCCAGTCCACAGCCACCCGAAGGTCCGGCAATTGCAATTCTATTGCCAATTTAATGACAGGGTGTCAAATGAATCTCAACCAGTATTTAAGGGAGAGAGAGAGAGAGAGAATAAAATTACCAACAATTATCACAATGGTAGGCTGGATTAACGATGTAAATTAATTTTCAGGGTATTGCCATGGAAATTGGTTGCAATTTTCTGCAGGATAATGAGCATATCAATTGTGGGAAAAATAAATGGAGAATTTTTGAAAAATTAAAAGGAATTTCTTATTTTGAAAACAATTTTTTTTTATAAATTCAAAATGTAAACGTCTTTTCGGAATTCCACATAATTGGACAACACTTCAAAACTAATTAAATTCCTCTCCAATTAAAATTCGATAGCTTAATTAGCTGTCATAAAACTCCGCTTATCAATTTAACTAAACCAGCCAGCCACTTGGCCATAAATTATTAATCCCATTTTAGTAAATATTCATTTAAGAGCATCCGCTTTTAATTTATAATAGCTTTAAATCACGTTCCGCAGTTTACTTAAAACTGAATAGAGCAAACTCACATGTGTATGAGTGTCGAAACATTTATGACATACGCACACACACATGCATATGTTTATATATAGCCATGCATGTATTTGTCAAATGGCGGAAATTGGAATTCTTGAAAACCCATTTAAAAATATTTTTTGGCGAGATTGTATGGCGTCACCGCAAATGTGGTTCTTTGCTAAAGTGTTCATATAAATTTGTCAAAGGAAATGTTGTAGCAACACAAAAAAAAAAAAAAAAAAAAAAAAAAACGCAGCAGAGAATTTTCACAAATGAATGAGTTTTCCAAAAGAGACTTTAAGTGGGGAAAATATAAACAATTTGAATTGGAATACAAGAAGGATGATATGAAAAGAATTGATCAATTTGGGTCAAAGAAAACTCTTCATAACTTTAGAAGTGGGACTTAAAATAACTCCTTTAGACATTCAGAAAAATGATTTAAAACACTTGAAACTATACCCGTTGTACCTTCAGGAAATTGACATTAAATAGTCCTGTAATTACCCTCGCAAAAAGGGCTTGAAAAAGGCATGGAAATGACGTGATAATGGCACGAAAAAAGGCTTGAACATTTTCCAAACCCCACAGGGAAATTAATTGAAAATTAATAGGATTAAACTATTTTAAAAAGTTTCCAACCGAAAATACGTGAAAATCTCGTCCAAAAAAGAAGTTATAGTCGTTGAAAGAAGACTTGAAATAGGCTTGAAAAAGACTTGAACTGTTTTTGTAAAAATTCGGAGATGATGGCTTTGGTATAAAATGCTTAAAACCTTCCTGCAGTACGCGCCGTTATAGTTCTAGAAGATGTCTTCTAAAACTTTTAAAAATCGACTCCGAAAGAGGGCTTGAAAAAGGCATGGAAATGGCTTGAAAAAAGTTGGAAATAGAGCTTTAAAAAGGCATGAAAATAACATTGAAATGTCTTGAACATTTTCCTTCAAACTCCACAGAGAAATGAATTGAAAATTAAAAACAAAATAGGCTTAAACTTTTTTAAAAAATTTCACACGAAAACATATTTGAAAATCTATCCCAAAAATAGAAGTTATAGGCATTGGAAGAAGACTTAAAAAATATTTTCTTTCAAATTCCACAGAGACTCTCAAAGGAAAAAAATTGAAAATGAAAACCAAAATATTCTTCAAAGGTTATTTTAAAATACCCAAACTTAGTCCTAAAACAAAAACTGGGAAATCTTCTTTAAAAATTTAACTAATAATCATTGAAAGAAGACTTGAAATAGGCTTGAAAAAGACTATAACTTTTTTGTAAAAACTCAGAGATGATGACTTTGGTTTAAAATGCGTGAAACCTTCCTTAACTACTCGTCGTTATAGTTCTAGAAGATGCCTTCTAAAACTTTTAAAAGTAAATTAGGAAAGAGGGCTTGAAAAAGGCATGGAAATGGCTTGAAAAAGGCTTGAATATTTTCTTTCAAATTTCAAAGAGAATCACAAAGGAAAAGGGTTTGAAAATGAAATCCAAAATATTCTTCAAAGGTTCTTATGAAAGATCCGAACTTAGTCCATGAAAAAAAAAAAACTGGGAAATCTTCTTCAAAAATCTAAGTAATAATCGTTGAAAGAAGACTTGAAATAGGCTTGAAAAAGTCTTGAAATTTTGTTGTAAAAATTCGGAGAAGATGGCTTTGGTATAAAATGCTTGAAACCTTCCTTAAACACTCGTCGTTATAGTTCTAGAAGATGCCTTCTAAAACTTTTAAAAATAAACTCGGAAAGAGGACTTATAAAAGGCATGGAAATAGCTCGAAAAAGGCTTGAAAACTTTTTTAGAAGTCACACAGAGAATAGACTTGAAAATGAAAAAAGTTTGATTTCTAAAAAGAAATACTTGAAAATCTCTTCCAAAAACATAATGCTTGGTCTCCGAGAGAAGACATGAAGAAGGCTTGAAAAAGACTTTACATTTTTTGTAAAAATTCAGAAATTATGGCTTTTTTATGAAATGCTTGAAACCTTCCTTAACTACTCGTCGTTATAGTACTAGAAGATGCCTTCTAAAACTTTTAAAAATAAACTCGGAAATAGGGCTTGAAAAAGGCTTTAAAACTTTCTTCGAAGACACATAGAGAATAGACTTGAAAATAAAAGTTAAAATAGGCTTTAAATATTTTTAAAAAATCCAAGTTTGATTTCTAAAAAGAAATACTTGAAAATCTCTTCCAAAAACATAATGCTTGGTCTCCGAAAGAAGACATGAAAAAGGCTTGGAAATTGTCAAAAAATCCAAGACGATATCTTCGAAAGAAAAAAGTACCATATAGCTTCCATAAATATTCTTTGTTGTTATCTTCGAAAATCCCTTTCAAAATTTTTCAAAATAGACTCGGAAATAGGGTTTGAAAAAGGCATAGAAATAGCTTGAAAATGGCTTAAATATTTTCTTTCAAATTGCAAAGAGATTCTCAAAGGAAAAGGATTTGAAAATGAAGTCCAAAATATTCTTCAAAGGTTCTTATGAAATTTCCGAACGTAGTTCCTGAAAAAATACTGGAAAACCTCCTTAAAAAATCTAAGTTATTATCGTTGAAAGGAGACTTGGAATAGGCTTGAAAAAGACTTGAACTTTTTTGTGAAAACTCAGTGATTATGGCTTAGGTATAAAATGCTTGAAACCTTTCTTGAGTACTCGACCTTATAGTTTCTTCTAGAACTTTTAAAAATAGACTCGGAAGGAGGACTTGAAAAAGGCATGGAATAGCTTGAAAAAAGCTTGAAAACATTCTTAGGAGACACATAGAGAATAGACTTGAAAATACAAACTAAAATAGGCTTTAAATATTTTTTAAAGATCCAAGTTTGATTTCTAAAAAGAAATACTTGAAAATCTCTTCCAAAAACATAATGCATATTTTTCGAAAGAAGACATGAAAAAGGCTTGGAAATTATCGAAAAATCCAAGACGATATCTTCGAAAGAAAAACATACCGCATAGCTTCTATAAATATTCTGTGTTGTTATCTTCGAAAATACCTTCTTAAACTTTTAAAAATTGACTCGGAAAGAGGGCTTGAAAAAGACATGGAAAAAGCTTGAAAAAGGCTTGATCACTTTCTTTTAAATTCGACAAAGAAAGGGGATTGAAAATTAAAACTAAAGTAGGCTTAAAAAGTTGTTTAAAGATCAAAATGTAGTCTCTGAACAAAATGCCAAAAAATCTGCTTCAAAAATGTAATTTATAGTCGTTAAAAGAAGACATGAAAAAGGCTTGAAAAAGACATAGATTATTTTAATCCAAGATGATGTCATTTATATAAAAAGTTTGAAAAATGCTGTAAATATTTTTCATTGTAGTCTCCGAATATGGTATTTAGGACAATAAAAATAGCCTGGACTTGAAAAAGATTGAACACATACCTTCAAATTCCACAGGAAAAGGACTTCAAAACTAAAAGAGGCTTCAAATGTTTTTAAAAGACTCAAACGTTGTCTCTAAAAAGTACTTGGAATCTTCCCCAAAATCTAAGTTATAGTCGCTGAAAAAAAGAATTGAAAAATTCTTGAAAATTTTCTGAATAAAAAACCAGGTCGATGTCTTTGAAAGAAATGTTTGAAACCTTACTTAAATATTTTTCCCCGCAGTCTTTGGAGATGACATGTAAAATTTTTACATTCCACAAAGATTGGACCTGAAAATTTAAACTGAAATAGGCTTCAAAGGCTTTTTGGAGACACCAAATATTTTTCTAAAAAAAATGCTGGAAGTCTCTCCCAAAATCTAAGATATAGTTGATGATTTAAAAATAGTTTTAGAAAGAGGGCTTGAAAAGGACATGAAATAGCTTGAAAAAGTCTTGAATATTCTGTTTTTTATTTTACTGAAAATACACTCATAAAATTAACTTGGCTTTAGCTTGAAAACATTTTTGAACATTCCAAGATACAGTTTTAGAAAAAATTCTTGAAAATATTCTAAAAAATGTAACTTATAGTCGCAAAAAAGTCTGGAAAAGGCATGAAAAAAGATTGAACAATTTCGTCTAAATTTCACAGAAAAGAAAACTTGAAAATTAAAACATGTTTGAAAGGTTTTTAAAACATTGAAACTTAGTGTCTGAAAAACACTTGGAAATCTTCTCCAAAAATCTAAGATGTAGTCGCTGAATGAAGGCATGAAAAGGCTTGATAAAAACTTGAACATATTTGAAAAAATCACAATTAAACGTATGAAAAATAAAATG